TCTGTGATTCAACAGTCTTGCACAATTCACAGTGCTCACCATAGCACATACCCTCCACCATAGCACATACCCTCCCCAATGTCTATCACCCAGCCACCCCATCCCTCCCACCCCCCACCACTCCAGCAATTTCTTATCTTTTTATGTTATGAGTTTCATAGTGTGAGGGTAGGGTTATGTTTTAAACATTTTGCATACATGCAAAAAACCCTGCATATATTTTGAGAGGGTGCTCAACTATTTGTTGATGGAATGAATGAATAAACAAGTAAACAATGGTGTATGCCTTTTCCTTTTCTGAAAACATGCCCTATTTATAGGAGAGGCTCTAATTGCTGTACTTAGACAAGGCTGACCTGCTGCTTAGCCAAAGCTGATTGATCAAGGGGTCAGCACAGGACCCAGGCCAGGACAATCGTGTCTCTTTTCCAGGAATTTAAAATCTGGAACGAAAAGAGGGAGACTGGGCATTGCAGAGTCCATATGACTGTGCTCTAGAGAGAAGACCCATAGGCTCCTGCTCTTTGGTACCAAAGGCACCCTGGGTTCCTTGAAGCATATAAGTATCTGCATACATGACAGTTAAATAACAATGCAAAACTATTTGATTGAGTTCCAAAATGCAAAGTAGAGACAATAAATGCTGTAAAACGTCACAATATGGAGAGATCAGTGAAGACTAGCGTCACTGCATATCCTGTTGTCTTAGCTTTCTTTTTTCAGGACAGCCACTGTGAATGTGATTGTATTTCCAAGCCAGAAACTGCAGAGTTAAGGCAACAGGACTTGGATCAGGGAACAAAGTGTGGGACTGCAGAGAAGAGGTGGTAGAGAGCCTGTAGGTGAAATTGTTAAGTCTTAGAAATTGATTTAACATGAGGGTAAAGAGAGAAATCAAGATGGTGCCAGGTTTTGAGTTTTTATGTTAGGACAGATAATGGTAACACCATTACAAATAAGGACATTTGAGGAGAGCAAAGGCGGGGGAGTAAAAATGAGTTCAGCGTGGGATATATTAAGTTTAAAGTCCTGGTGAGACAATCAGATTGCTCTGGTCAAGAATACTGGCTTTGGAGTCCAGAGGACTTGGAGTTCCATTTGTACTTTGCATCCCACTCTGTGATCTTTGGCATCTTATTTATTTGGCTTCTTTAAGTCTCAGCTCCCCATCTATACATTGATAAGGGTTAAAATGAGACAATGCCTATAAAGGGTTTAGCTTATTGCTTGGCAATTAAGTATTCATAAAACATGTATTAATAGGATGATGATGATGGTGTGCTGATGTCTGGAATGCAGCTTGAAGACAGGGACCAGAGTGCTGTAGGGAGGAATCTGCTTAGAGGTACATGCACATGATGCAAGGGAGCTGTTGACATTGGCAACAAAGAGAGTGTGGAGAGGAATCAGAAAGTAGCCCGTCATATCTTTTCAGGGAACAACACCTCTTAGGAGTCAGGAGAAGGAACAGGAGCCAGAGGAAGAGACTGAGCTAGAACTGTTTGAGAGGAAGAAGGAGAAGCAAGTGGGCGCCTGGGTGGCTCAGTCGTTAAGCGTCTGCCTTCGGCTCAGGTCATGATCCCAGGGTCCTGGGATCGAGTCCCACATCGGGCTCCCT